ATGAATCATTTGTGGATAATTTTGTTTGATTTCTGTTAGAGAATGCTTCAAATATGTTGAACAAATACAAAATCTATACGAACAATATTTTGCTAATCAAGTTCTCCAATTAAATATTATTTTTAATATCATTATGATATGCAACATGTTACACTGCAGTGAAATAAAATGGGTTGTGACTTATTGAAAGAGATTTTGACCAAAAAAATACTATGTTTAAACGTTGAAAATATGTAGCAATTATACGTAGATGACCGTGTTAACAAATATATTATATTAATAGTAGGTTACGATAATACTAACATATTGAAAATGAATAATATTGATGTTTTTCCGTGATAATTTATTTTTCTAAAAATGATATGATTGTTTGTTTTTGAACTTTGAATGAAATAATAAAAAAAATGTAATCGTTAATCCGACTCGATGTTCGTTATTGTTGAAAAACTGACATCTACAACATGTTTGATAAGATGAGAAATGTTATTTATGGCATTAATTTATTAAATTAAATTTTATTATGATCCGCGTACTCTTCATGGCTAATCGTTGGCCAAAAATTCGATTTGAAACTATTTAAATTATGTATTTATTCACTTATAATGAACAAGTTGATAAGATTTAAATTTCTACATTCCTTGTAAAATAAAAATTTTGTTTTGTAGGTCCCGCAAGCATTGATGATGGTGTGGATAAGTCGCTAAATGTTTTTCTAATAAATAATGAAAATTTCAACTTGCAAATATTTTTTATCAACAAAATGCTCTGTAGATGTCAGATAAAATGTACTTATGTCGATATTAAAAATATAAAATATGACGCGTCCAATTATAACCCAGCTTTGCCACACACTGTATCGCCAAAACTACTAATTAATATATACTGTTAAATGTGTGTTTTTTAAAATCTCGAATAGCAATTAGGTCCACTTAAACTCGAGGACTATGCCTATTATATTGTTTTATTCCAAAGAATATAAACATAATATTTAAATGTTCAAAAACCTTTCCATAACTTTTTTTACTCTAGTTCTTCAAACTCCAATCATTTTTATTCGGCCAGTCCTCAGAGTTTTACCACTCGTAATTAATAGTATTAATAATAATGCTTGTTTTCTCAGTGTTTCTGCATGTTAAAAAATTAATTATAAAAATTAGCGTAAGATTCGTCGTTACTATTAATATAAACATACTTAGAATCCAAACGAAATGGAAACGAAATTGGGCCATAAACACCTTTGTCGTGCATATCATGATCTGACTGAAAGCAATAATTTGTTATGAGATTATGATATGTGCTATATATGCTTCTGTTAATTACAAAATATTCTGTATCAATTTTTTATAATTTTTGCATATATACACATTCATAACATATTTTACAAAAATATTTGATCAAGAGTGACAAGTAAAGATCCGATGTCTCCATATTTTCACTTTTCTGCAGCATATGATTCTTGCACAATTTAGATTTTTTTGCCCAAAATAGTTAATTTTTATTAATCTTATGTAATGTGAATCAGTTGTTTATTATCAAGCATAAATATTGCTTATAAAAGTAAAATTCTTCCATTAATTGTGTATTTATGTTAAAATTATTTTTGATTGAATTGAACCAACTTTATAACGAGAACTAAGTATAATTCTTCTGCAATAACATCATGTTCCGAGCTTGAGCTTGTATTAATTCTGCTCGTCAGTCTTTAAAAAAATTTATAATTAATACTGTAATCCAGATGAATTATTTAAAACAGACAAAATAAATAAGCTAATACTGTAGTTTGAAAATAATCAAATGCCAAAGCAAAAATGCAACTATCCAATTTAAATTACGCGTTCTTAAAAATTACTAAAAGCTTTCGTGCACGTGCCGACATATTTAATTTACTATTAAATTAAACGGGGAAGATCATTATGATAATTTATGACAAAATATTATATCAATAAATACTTATAATTTTTTAAGTATATTGCTTTAAATGAAATTAATTAGATAAGGACAACTTTTATTTATATTGTTCAATTCGAACAAATAATTTTATATTTATTATTTAAAAAAAAACGTGTCTGCGAATACAGCGTAACGACTGTACCAAACTCATTTACTTAGAAATATATATATATATATATATATATATATATATATAGCCCTGTGCCGACAGGATCATGAGTTCGAACTCCCGCCTGATAACCTGACATCATGCAGTAGCGATTTCACTTCAAAATATGATCAAAAATATGTTTTCAATGGTGCAGTCGAGCTTATCTAATTTTGCAAATTTTTGCTTCAATCTGCGCACATTCCATTGCGTGTAATCTATGTCAATTATCGAGGAACACTAAATGTAATGCGGCATTTTTAAACCACAATATTAATAATTATAATTATCAATCGACTTTTGTGGTTTAAAATTGCACGCAATTTCTGAAATGCTTTACATTATATCTTAAACGAAAAAAGTCAATTAAACATTTTTATAAAATTAAGGTGTTCAACAGTCGTCCTTATTAGGGTTGCTGTTGCATTATTTTTCTATATAACTTTAAATATCAAACAGAAAACAGCGAACGGCGAAAATAATAGATAATGGACAGATGTTTCTTTAGAAGTAATTGTAAATCTTTATGAAAAATGAGTACTAAGTATAAAGATTTTTTCTAAATTTATCTGTTAATTTGCTTTGCTAGAGCAATTATTGTTCGCTGTTTTCGCAAACTGTTATTCGTATGTGCGATACTATTGCTTCTACATTTTAACCAGTTTACCATAAATTCATTAAATTCTGAAATTGCAAATTACATTTTTCCATCCATAAATTTAGATCTACCAGAATGTTTCTGTACAATTTGTATATCGCCTTTAACACTGCTTTATAATATTGTATTTTCACAAACAAACATTTTTATCAATCTCTTTGAATATTCATAATACCGTTGAAATAGTTTTCTAAAAATGTATTAACTATCTAAAAATTACCAAACAAGTTTGAAACAAAACTAGAGAAAAAAAGATTCATAATCATGATCAACCAACAAACTTTATTATTAATCAATATATTGATTAGATTTTTATGTATAGTTACAATTAGATGGTAAATATATTTCCTATTTGCTAATTATTGAAGTGAATTAAAATAATGAAGTGGCGATAGTATCAAATATATGCTGTTATCTATATAAAAGCCTAATCTATAATAAGTCTTCAAACCCCCGAAATTTGCACTTTCTTACTGAAGCACTCTCAAACAGTTATATAATTCGACTTAGTATTTGGATTAAGTAGTTGAGACATATTACCATATTAAAAACTTATGAAGCATTGTATTATTATATTAACTTGTATATTATATATTGTAACGATGGTTGAAATTATTACTAATATTAACTGATTATTAAACATGTATAATGATAAATATTATAATTGATAAAATTTAATGAAGGCTTTGATGTTATTGTAGTAGCCAATGCTTACATTACATAGACATATATTCCATCCCAATATTTTATGGTTTTGAAGCATTTTTGCCATATTTGTTTTAAGACCATGATCGAACACATATATTGATTTGAATAAACCTTTTAACTTTTTAACATATTTTCATTACATCTTTTCAATAGCAAATTAGTTTAAAATATTTAATTATATATTTAATTTATTTTGTTAATGAATGTATCATATTTTTATTTGATTACATTTAATATCATAAGTTGAGTAATATCTTGATTGTGTGTAATATTTAAGTAACAAAATTAATTATTTGTTATTCAACTAAGAATATATTTTTTCAAAGGCGTTGCCTGCTTCGACACAAGTATGCGCAGATTTTAATGATTTGTATATCATGAAGTATCATATAATAAGTTGATTTTATGATACGAATATATTCTAAAAAGTAAATATTGTCATGATTTTTAAATGTATACAATTTTACATATTCTATAAATAAAAAATTTAATTTGACAAATCTAGTCAAAATATGTTAAATGATAAAAGTTATCGGGCCAAATTATTATGATCTTTTTAAATTTCGTATTTACTTATATTATTATCATGGATTAAAATGATAATTTATTATTATAAGATAAGTTTTATAAATTTATAGTTCGTTTAGATGATTCTGTTTCAAAAATCTAAATTAGCGAAAACTATATTTATTTATAAATAATTTACTAATAGGTTAGTTTATTAATGGACAGAATCGATTTAAAAAATGTGTTACGAAAAAATTGGTATGTATAAATTTGCAAAAAAAAAGTGTTTTATGCTGATCCTCCCGTGTTTTTAGTAGTAAGGTTTTTTGTGTATCTTGTCATTAGCTATTAAGTTTTGTCATTAACATAAGTTTATTTATAAAGTTTATTTAACTATATACGAATATACTGGTTGTATATTCATGTGAAAACAGGGAACTCTTCTATATAGATGAGCTGTAATTCAATTTTATTTCTGTATTTTTAATAAATTCAGCAAAAGAGTGTATTTGAAATATATTGTAATGATTTCAAAAATAATTCGTTGTTAGTTATTGCTAATTTCAAAACATTTATGAATTAACTTATTAATTTATTTTATCTTATCTTCATTAGGACACACGTTATTAAAATCTTTTTTTTCTTATTGGAACACTTTCAAAAACAGTAAGGAAATATGTATTTTGATTTATATATATATTTTTTTTTTTGTTTTTCCAGAGAAGCAATCATTCAACACATCAGTTAATAATGTCCAGATAATGAGCAATTTTTCAGAAAAATGGAAACACAAATATTAATTTCAATAATATGATTGATTGTTTATGTAGTTCATTGTACTTTAAACAGTACTAGTAAGAGTATTGGAATTATATTTAATTTGAAGAAAAAACACTTGGAAAACATCAAAGTTAATGTTTAGAAATTAATTTTTTTATTAATTTGCTTAAAAAAAATTGAAACCAGAATTATGCAAAAGAATATGTATTAATACTTCTCTCTTACCTTTTGATTTTTATGTTTCTTTGAGTGTGTATATAAAAATTATATGCATTATGATTCAATAATCACTATAAATTAACTTCAGTATAAATTTAATTTAATATCACTTTAATTTTCTAGAAAAGATACATATTCCGTAAGTTTATGCAATTGATCTTCACTAGTGGTTCCACTGGTAATATCCAGTTTAGCTCTTGTAGGAATCACAGAACGTGTTGCTTCTTCGATAGCCCAACCTTTTTTCTTACAGGCGGCGATGACCATATCTTCTGCTAAACCAGTCATTTCTGAAACTGTGTCTATAGAAACAGAACTATAGGCCTGCGTTATCAGGGTAACAGCTCTTGAACGCAATTTTTCTGCAGAAAATTTAAACTTAATTACTTCCAGGTATGTAATTTAAGTCAGTAATGGTAAACTATATTTTTTATATTTGGTAATATATAAATACATAAATGTATTGAGAATCTCACCTTCAACATTTTTCATGATTTCACAAACACTATCACTCCAATTATTTTTTAAAGCTTTATATGTTGATGGGTAATCTCTTTTCCACATACATTTACCAACTGCCCAAATCAGAGCTAGTTCTGGATTATCATTTTTTATTTGTTCAGGTATTCGTTGCCATAAAAATTTTGCATTACATCTATTTAACAAATAAATTCACATATTACAAAAATTCTTTCGAGACAATATAACTAAATAATAACGATTCATGTAGATACTAACAAATCATTTTGATATAAATACAAGGCCAGTAGTTGAGAATACACCCCTGCAGTGGGTGAGGTATTAGATGTCTGGAAGTATTGAAATAACATAATAATATATCAAAACTAAATATAATTCATATGACATTTGCTTACTGCTAACTCAAGTTCTTGTTTTTCTAATTCGGAAACTAATTTATTCATTCGCTCATCCATTTTCTAGGGAGCTTGACTTAATAGGATAGTTAAGTTAAACAATTATTTTCTTTTTCAAACAAACACAACACGTAAATATTAAATATTAATTTGGTTATGACATCAATTCGGTGGTAAATTTTTATGATAAATCGTAATTATTGTTATTATTAAATATCTGTATTTACATTATATATTATATATTTGACAGATATGTTTTAGGAATAACGATTACAATATAATTTCTAAGTAGATAATAGTATTTTCATTTTCAATCTGCAGACCGAGTACTGTCAAAAGCATAGATGACAATCAAAAGTGTCAAACGCCATAGTCGTGTCAATGTGTCAAGAGTGTCAAAAGTGTCATACGCCATAGTATATCTTGTTAAACAATCTAAGATGGCTATCTATAGAGAAATAGACTACCCATTACATTTCGGAAATAAAATCACAAAAATTTTTAGCCATAATTTTAATTTTATATGCATTTAATAATATTATGTGTACTACACGATATATCTAAAATAAAAGACCTTTTGCAAAACTTCAAGTATTAGGTAAGCAGATTTATTACAATTATTTACCCCCCATCACCCTTGTCAGCAAAAGTAAGCAAAGCTCTTACCGCCCACCCCAATGCTTATGTAAACATTTTGCAATTAATGTATTGTTTTTAAAATACTACCTATGACGTAATCATCATTTAGACTCCCCTTGCCAAAGATCTGATTAATGCAGAAGAAGTTTTCTTTTTATTATCCGGCTCTGGTAGAGTTGTTCTGTTGTTCACCCTAAAAGTTGTCTCGAAATCTACATATGGTTTCAAATATTATATTCAATTATAATATTCAGGATTGAATTCACAAGAGCATTGTGATTTTTTTATTAGAAATTATTGATTATTATTATTTATTTCCTTGAAATTGAGCAGCAATGGACTGAATTTTTCTAAGATAAAATTACATGCTTCCAGTTTTCTAAGTTCTTAATACGACTTGAAATACAGAAAATATATGAAACTAAGACCATTTTAAAGTTTTAAAAGGATCCCGTTTAATAAATACGTTGAATGACAATTCTGTAAATATCGGAAGTAAAAAAGGAAATAAAAGCAGGTTTGCCATCATTCCGCCATAAACGCTCATGGCTTTTTTTATCTATGGCTCATGGCTCATGGTTTATCGTCTGACAGTTGTTTCTGATTTAAATCATAACCTTAAATACTTCAACCTAGAAAGGACATACAACAGCTTTCATACAATAGCTTTAAACGTTGTTAAGTAGTAAAATATAATATTTGTTTGAAAAATAAAATTAATATTTTCTCTATGAACTTTGTCCATTATTTTGAAGTAGTTATATCAGATCAGAAAAAACGCAGTAAGTGTATTTCAAAATCTTTTGACTTTCAACTGAAACAAGCGAATTTGGCAAACAAAGAAAGCTGAATCAGGCGAAATTGTAATGGTACTTGAATACAAATAAAAATCAGTATTATTTCGCACTATATGTTTTTATTGCAGTTAAGAATATGAATGTATAAACTAAATATGGAAGAAAATAATGAAGTTTCAGCTAGGGATAATAAAACAATGTCTGGCGAACATACATGCCTAAATAGAGAGAAAGAAGCCCTAGATGCAAAAAATGAAGAGAGAAACGATACCAATATTCATTTGATAGAGGAAGCAATTGATATTATAAAAATTAATGGAAATAATGACAATGAAAAGGCTTCTATTGAAAAACACTTTAGGCATGAAAAAACCAAAAAGGAAGAGATATTAGAAACGAATAAGGATGATTTATTGACACTGGAAGTTGATAACAATGCACCAGTCAATAAAGTAGATTTGGAGAGGATGAGACGAGAATTAACTGAATATCAATTTGATGATTCAAAAATAAATAAAGAAAAGAATGAACATATAGGAGTAACTGAAGATGTAAGTGATGAAGCAGAAGTAAATGTAGAAGTAGAAATTATTAAAGAAATTTATGATGAAGTAAACATCAATAAAGCACAACCATTAATTCATTTGAACAATGGTAATAAAGAAGATTTCGATGTGAAGGACGATATGCTTGAAGGACATTTTGAAGATGACATGAAAATGAATGAAAAAGCAATTTTAAATGGTAAAATAGATGCAGATATAAATTATGAAAATACAAGAGTAAATGAGCCAATAAAACAATTTGATATGGATATTGATGGAACAAAAATGAATACAGAAAAAGCATATAAGATGGAAGAATTCACCGATGATGGATTAGGATTAGACATCAACTCTTATGATGGTGATGAAGATGAGGACTACAAAACAGAAACAGTGAATTATCGTAAACTAATTCTAATGAATATGCTGAGCTGCATCAATGTCGAAGAATATATGCCTATTTTTGAGTTAGTATAATATAATAATAAGCATATAGAGATTCAGTGCATATGTATAATTGTTTTTGTAAATTTATTCTCAATATGTCACTTTTAATGTGAAAAACAAAACAAAGTTTTACTTCTGTTGAATATTCCATGCACATTTATTTATATTAAAATATTCTTGTTTTTGAAGATTTTATAATATGAATGATTTTTGTAATGAATATGTTAAAAACATTTTAAAGTAAGTATGTTTACTAAAATGAAATAATTATACCTAACCACTTTTGAATTTTACAGACACTACAATATAACACATGAAACATTAAGATTATTAGATGAAGATGATTTAGATGACATGGGGATTACAGATCGTAATCACATAGTTGAATTGTTGAATCATATTAGATCCTTGCCGCCATTACAAAGACAAACGTGAGTTCAAAACATTAAAGTGTTATATAAAAAAAATAGTGATAAGTTTCAATTGTTATTGAAAATAATGATTTTTCAGTCATTATGAATTATTGGATGAACCACTTCTGAACAAAGATGTATTTACAAATTTTTCAAAACACTTTGACTTGTTAACTTTATCATTGAAACATGGTTTAGAAGTTAGTTGCAGTATACATGACATCAGTAAGTATTTAGTGGATAGTAGTAGTAGCGATGTGGATAGTAAAATAGAGATATGGGAAGGATCTTTTCTATGGTTTGTTTACAAGTTTATTTAAAAAAAAAAAATTGATAAATTGTTTGTATATTTAATCACATTATTCAGAAATTATAAATAAAATATTACTTTTTTATCTTACATATTCAATGTATACAGTTTTGATAGTATTTTCACTTGTGTTTTCCTCAGTTCAAATTAAATTGCATGAATACAGCAATCTCCTATTTATGTATATATATATATATATATATATACACACCTAAGTCTGTTTTTATGCGGTCTTTTTGTACACGGTTTTGATATAACACGGTTTGAAAATTGAATATTTTTAGTTTTTTTTACACGATTTTATTCCATTTAGCACGATTTGAAATTTTATGTAATTAAATTTTTTTGTCAAATTTAATTTTCTGCGATGTATGTTCATATCACAAAAAAGTATTTATGAAAGAAAAAAGTCTGAAACCATCGATAGTATCGATAGTTTGCGAACACTAGTTTAAAGATTTAAGTGAATTCCCCTTTAGCGCGTACGAACAATTTTTACTGGTCAAAGCAATTTGAATAGCACTAATTTAGGGGAATTATTATTAAAATAAACATGAATTCTTGTTCTTGAAAATTCTTGTTTTTCACTAATTTAATAGTTTTAGAGATTAGGAACAAATCACCCATTTTTGTATAAGATCAATGTCTTTTTTACACGTTTTTTTTTACACGGTTTCTTCTGGAACCAATCTCCGTGTAAAAACAGACTTAGGTGTATATATATTTATATATATATATATATATATATATATATATATATATAATATAAACTCAACATACAATTTAAAACTGTTGTAATATATATATATATATATATATATATATATATATATATATATATATATTTTGTAGAGCTTCGAACAAAGAATCCTAAATCTTATCAAGATTATGCTTCTTGACAATGTCCTGAACATGGAACGTACCTAGTTCTGAAACGTCAATAGTAAATAAATAAAGAAATGGTTTAAAAAAAAACTTTGTTTTTTTTATTTATTACTTTTTGGATTCGTTGTTGGAAGCTCTACCATCTAATATATATATATATATATATATATATATATATATATATATATACACCTAAATCTGTTTTTACACGGTAGATTGGTTCCAGAAGAAGCCGTGTAAAAAAAAAAACGTATAAAAAAGACATTGATCTTATACATAAATGGGTGATTTGTTCCTAATCTCTAAAACCTATTAAAATTAGTGAAAAACAAGAATTTTTAAAAACAAGAATTCATGTTTATTTTATTAAATCAAATATATAATGCTTATAGCTATTCACATTTGCTTTGACCAGTAAAAATTGTTTGTACGCGCTGAAGGGGAATTTACTTAAATCTTAAGCTAGTGTTCGTAAACTATCGATACTATCGATGGTTTCAGACTTTTTTCTTTCATAAATACTTTTTTGTGATATGAACATACTTTGCAAAAATTAAATTTGACAAAAAACATTTAAGTACATAAAATTTCAAATCGTGATAAATGGAATAAAATCGTGTAAAAAAATTTAAAATATTCAATTTTTAAACCATGTTATATCAAAACCGAGTACAAAAAGACCGTGTAAAAACAGACTTAGGTGTATATATGTATTCTTGTTTGTTAATATAATAGTATTTTATTATTTTACACAAATTTAGTGTTCAATCAATTTTACATCATAATTAATGTTTCCTGTTTTTCCTGGTTTGGTTTGTATAATTTCCTCCTTTTATATATTTATATTTATCATCAACTGTGTATTTATGTTATATGTTTTTTTAGATTACTGAATGATGACACACATCAAGTGTCGAGACGTTTAATGGAATAAATAATTTTGTTATTTAATCTTTTTTTTTAATTCGACGGTTGGGCTGCAAGAAAAATTTACAAATATGTATCAACGTCGACAAAACTATCATCATCATATATATATATATATATATATAATATATATATATATATACAACAATTTTAATTCTATGTTGAATACTAAGTTTCAAATTTAAAAAAAAATTCAATACGTAATATTATAATTTTTTAATTTAAATTTCTCATAGGAGAACTTTTTTAAGTTTAATCAACATGTATATTGAGTAACAAATATGATCATTATTAACAGATTGCAAGAAGCGACGATACAGAGATATACATAATCCTATTATATATCCTGAAGGAATAAAAAGCTCAGAGATTGCGATGGATACAGCAAATATATGCAGAATAAAATTGATGAAGTGAATACACAACTTGATAATAGCAAGAAGGTAATAATTTTATAATCTGTGAAATCAACATGAATTTAAGTTTCCTTTATTTTTTTCAGTTATGGGGTATAGAGATATTGCCAAAAACAAAAAATATGTCAGAAAGAATTTTGAAAGCTTAGGAATTAGTAATGAACACTGACATTTTTATCTTGTATAGTATTAAGAAAGGTGTTTAAGATTTTGTAAGCTAATGTAGCCATATATTTCCATACCTTGAAGGGTATTTATTATAATATAATTTATATCGTTAGTCAAACTTATGTATACAGATAAATTTCACATTATCTATTACATTTTGTTTTGTTTTGTTTTATAGTCACATGTGAAAAATATATAATATTAAATTTGATTTCATTTTGCCTGTTTATTGTTTTTGCAAAAAAAATCCTGTACCTAAAATCATAATAGGTTTCGAAATCACATACTTAGCTTAGAGTAATGAAACTTATTAAAGAAAGAAAAAAGGCTGTGTTTACTTATGTGTCTAATATACAGTGTGCAAATGTAAATGCACAAATAAGTTTTGTATGTAATCATTTGGTGTTGTATTAATCATGTAATAAATATATTAGTTTTTGAAACAGTTTTTTACAGGCCTAAGTACGCAGTATCACCTTTATAAAATTAATTAATTTATAAATAAATAAATGCGTAATAAACCTTTATGTAATTAATAAAAACAATAATAACAATTAATAATAACAAAAAGAAAAAAAACTTAACTAACTGCTATATGTTTATACTAAAAGCTATGTTACCAGTCTATATAAATATATGTTCTATGCTCTATGTTTAATTTCGGTTGTAAATATTTTTAAAATAAACCAACAGTCTGTGTTGTCTGAGACTTAGTTTGAACAAGTTTCTTGTATAATTGCAGTAATAATTATCCATATCATAAATTTAATAGTTCTTTGTGATTTAGGTAAGTACAAAATAATTATTTTTTTTATTTTAAGGCAAAGTGTTGGGCATAATTCTAAGCAAATATTTGTTAAATACATTTTCAACATATTGTGATATTGATTTAAGTCCAAAACAATTTTTAATACATTAATTTGTTGCTTTAAGCATCAAAATTGAATTAAATTGTTTGAGGTTAAAATGTCAAACATCAAACACCAAACGTCAAAATTGACGACGGCTGTTTTCAGGTTACAAATGTCTGTTGTGACAGGTTTATTTTCAAATGTGTTTTAAAATTGTTAATCAATTAAATAAATGTTTAATAATTAAGTGAAATAAGCTCAGATTTAGTTCATCTTTTCTTACTTTTTAAAACTATTCAAAATCAGAAATATTTCAAATGAGGTAACAAGGAAATAAGTTTTTGAATGTTTTTTTTCTGAAAACAAATATTAGTGTATTAATTTTTATGTTAAGAATAGTTAATATAAGTTGTTATTCTCAATATTTACATTATAAATGGGGCAAAATATATATATGCTCTTTTGCTCTTTTGAATCATAAGTGCCATTAATTAAATTTAATTGATTAAATAACAATTATTTGTTTGTCTAATGTTACTGAAATATTTAGAAAGTTTGCACAAAATTAATTTACCTATAATTTTTTTTAACACTCGATACTTTTACACAGTAACGCGATATGCTTTAAAATGTCATTCTTTGCGAGCTAACAATACAGTTTATGTTCTATGTGATTTATAAAAATATTATACAAATGCCACAGTACTTATAATAATTTATTTGAAAACATTCAATATTCCTCGAACATTTCGGTACGGTACGTTCCTGCAGTTTGCATTAAGGGGTTAGGGGTCCTTGGAATTTTAGAAAAATCTATTTTTATTTTTTGCATTTTCATTAAGTGCAATATCTTGAAAATGTTCTCTGAAAATTTCAAGTTGATCCGATAATTACTTTTTGAGTTATTGGACTCTTACCAGCGCGCTGACGCAAGTGGAAAGCTCGATACTTATACTCAAGATTATTCTCCCTCACCTCCTGATGTTTTAAAAGCTTTTTAACCGATTTACGACGATGTCAGCAATGATAATTTACTTTCAAGATGTGTAGTACAAGATTGAATCCATAACAGAAAAAATTAAAAGCTTCAACCAACTAGTGTAAAAAATATGCCTAAAAAACCGTGAATACTAGTTCTACTATCGTACAAATTGCTGAATGCATATACATAATCATTATTATTGATTATGGATACCCTAGGACATAATTGTGGGTATAATTCCCGTTGGTATGCTGAAAAATTGGATGCTGCACGTGTGAAAGTGGCGGATCAGCGCGCCAACGAAAACACTCGGGAGGCCAGAATGCTTTGTAGGCAACATCAAATGTTATATTAGAAACTTGCACAATGACTGATGAACTATTATATGGCCCAGAAATAAATGACTCGGTTTAAGTAATTCAATAATTCGAATTTCTGTACGTAAATCCAATTTGAAACTTTTTAACGCGTTTTTCTCAATGTTTTTTGAACCGGTGACCACTGTAACCCAAAAACCGCTTAGTAAATTTTAATGAAATTTATACAGCTTTTAGAATACATAATAAATTCGGGCCTGATCAAAGGATTTTTATTTTTTCAAAAATTTCAATTGTTTAAGACTAATTAACTGTTGATTTTTTACCCAAAATTTTAGATTTTTTTTTCTGATGCGGCCATTTTGTTAATTTTCGCAAAAAAAGAAAACCTTCGATCAGGCCCAGGATTATCTATTTATAAAACTATTTTTCTTTATTCGATTGATTTTAGATGAATCTCTAAGGAGTTATGATGGTCACCGCCAGGACCGTTTTTTGAAACAGTGTCAACAAAAACAGCTATAACTGGGATTTTTTTTCTCAAATTTTTGTTACTTCAAGTCAAAACATTGTATAATGATGCCGTATTAATATTTTTGTACAAAAACATTGTTTAATAACAAAAAAAACAATACTGAAAATTCTCATTTTTTCCGGGGTACCTCCAAGTACCCCTAACCCCTTAAGGTACGATGCCATACACCACTAGTTAGAATTTATTTTACATTGTTCTGTACACTTAAGTGATTAATATTGGATATCAAAATTTTGAATAATTTGTAGTTGCAATGCGGATAAGTATCAATATGTGGAGTTAGAACATTTTTTTACATTTTGTTAAATAACTTAAAATTTTGGTTAGATTAATAGGAATTCAGGTTTGAGTTTGATAATTAGCGATATGTGGATTTGGGACATTTTTTTATATTTTGTCAAATAACTTTAAAGTTTTGTTCTAGGGATTTTAATTTATTCATATTAGTGAAAAAAAAAATTTAGATTTATTAATCATAAACCATATTAAAACCATAAACTGCTATTCACGCCTTTTTAAACTACCATTTATGGATTCAAGTTATTAGATTAATATAAATGATCTATCATTCGGCTGTACTTACACATATTTAATGTTACTACACTAGTATTGAGAAACATATAATACTATTTTAAATATAATTTTAAATGGCCTTAGAATAAAAATTTATTTTTATTGCAGGTACTTATGACTTATAAGAATGCCTCAAAAGGAACTTTACAATCTGGGTCTTCGCCATAGTAAAGGGACAATATAATCAACAACTAATTGGACAAAGTCTTTTTGATGATAAGGACGAAATTATCCTGTTTGATAACCTTTCTGGTTATCCATTGCAAAACAACGAAATCTTTGGTTGCAACATCGGAATTTTATCAAAAAAATGGATTTGTGTTTGCAATTTTTGAAATATTTTGACTGATTCCAAAAGATTTTGAAACGCTGATTTCAAAAATGCTATCCGTTTTTGGATAAATCTACATACACCCCGCAAATAATTGAAATTTTTAGTTGCAAAGTCGTTTTTTTTTTCAAAAATCGAGTTTTTTTCGCGATTTTCAAAATGGTTTGATTGGTTTTGATTGATTTTAAATCGCTGAATTCGAAAATATTATCCGTTTTTGGATATATCCACACACCACTGTGAAAAATCAAAATCATTGGTTGCAAATTCCAAATTTTACTAATGAAATGACAATTTTTTTTCGCGTTTTTCAAAATGTTTTGACCGACTCTAATAGTTTTCGAGACGCTGATACCGAATATGAAATCAGTTTTTGGAAAAAAAAAATCTTCTGCCCTTGGTACCAAATTGAAGTTTGAAAAATTGCCAACTTTGAAGCTGATTTTAACTATGAAGACGATGATAAATTTGTATTTTTTTTGGTTTGGTATAAAGATTGTACTTTAGTCTACACAAAGCATTAATTAAAATTATTAATTTCATTCATTAAGTGCCTTAAAATTGCATTTGAAAGTCACGATTTTGGCCAATTTTGGCTGCTCCTGATAGACTGTCTTTTTATCGAAAAAATAATAAGATTTTTAAATTACACCAAAGTAGGTTTGGTTTACTGCTAACCAGGCGTAAATATGAATTTATTAAAAATTATTCTCCTACTTTTTCTTATCTTATATATATATATAATATATATATATATATATATATATATATATATATATTATGTCGATTTTTGTAATACTGACACTCAATAAATTTAATTCTATCTATGTTTTATTTATTTACACAGTTTGAAAAATTATTGGCTTCAAATATTTTTTCAGTCAAATGGGGTTCGATCTGTCGATCCTCGAATTGCTATTCTAGCCTAAACCGTATCTTTACGACCTCGGCCATTCGCACATTTGGCATACAATATTTTTAGGAAACTTATATTTTTCATTTTAAAAATAAGACTGTATTTTTAAAAAATAGCAGGGAGTTCTGTATAACTAATTGGCCGAGATCGTTGAGTGACCACTACGGTTGTTCAGCGTGCCTTGGTTCAAATCCCGAAGATGCTTGAAAAATCGAATGTATAGTTTTTCATAATTATCAAATATTAGTTCAAAATATTAAATTCAGGTGTCGCATTTCGACCTTGACACTTAGTAAATTTCTGAAAAACAAAAAACTCAAGTTTCGCA